AAACTTACAAGTGAAATAATACTAAAGAGAGAAGATACAAATTCCTTAAGAAGATAAAAAAGGCAAATGAGAGGTGTATCTAAATCCTAAACATTAGGCCTCCTTTTATAGGGTGAAATTCCCATTCAAAATTGTCATCCACCGATGTGGGACTTTTGACAATTTTAACAAATAGAATATCTGGCTTCCACCTCTACTGCATATGAATTGAGTCCGATCGAGTACTAGCTAATCTATTTATTATATATATATATATATATATATATATATATATATATGAAGTTGGTCCTTAGATAAAGCGATTTGACAGTCTCTAAAATCAAGATACATGTTGGGTGTGCAGTCAAAGTTTTATATTGGTACCTGAAAATATTGAAACATACATCTAAGGTGTAGGGATCTCTTAATGGTGTGAAACCTTTTGAAAAATACCGTCCGAATTTGGCTCAAAGCGGACAATATCACACCATATTAAGAGTATTTTTGGGTCATTTTAGCCCAACAGCTGGAAAACTATGTGGGCTTGTCCCAAAGCGGACAATATCATACCATGTTAAGAGTATCTGTTGCGGAAGATCGTGGGTTAATTAGCACACAATCACACACAAAGCAAATAGAGAAGAAAAATCAACACAAGAATTTAACAAGGTTCGACTAAGCCTAATCCACTATGAATTAGAAGAAAAGCACAATACAATCTATAGAATTCCGACTACAATCCATATATATAGATTTCAAATAGTCACAAATCATAAGAGAAAGATTCTCAATTTGACAAGGACAATAAGTTTTCCTTTCCCAAATCTATTAGGACAATGGGTTTTTCCAAAGCTATAGGAATTATGAGTTTCCTAAAAATACAAGGAAATAATTCAAACCACAAATAACAAATCCTCATCAACAGGAACAACGTCTCTCTACCTTGTCCTCAGCCCTGGCAAGGGCTCTACCCATTTCCGCACACATCAACCAAATCTAGGCAACGCCTAAACTTGTTAAGAGACTCAATCTCTTCGGCCACAACACTAATTCGTCGATTTGGTTCTGTACTTGAAATAGCTTCTGGATAGCTATAACACTCAAATTCATTAACGGTCACTGCAACCACCAAAGCAAATTCCACAGGATTCGTATATCCAAGAAGATTCACATCAACTACGTTTGCAAACCTTTGCGGTTGGTTGATCACTTCACTCTCTTCTCTCTGCCTGTTGCAATGCTATCTTATTCAATATTTTGCACCTCCTCCACTTCCTCTACTTTAGAACTACTGGACTGAGCTAGTGGAGATTCAATTTCTAGCTCTATACGATCACTGACACCACGATCTGCTTCTGTTATTGCCTTGGATTCATTGAGTGTCACATCCCTACTGAAAATTAACCCTGGAGTCTTTTGACATGTGCACCACAACTTATAACCTTTGTGGCAACCTAGAAAAACTGAAACACACTTATTTTTCATGTCAATCAGAGGTGTTCAAGAGAGAGACTTTTATCCGGACGAGATGTCTATAAATGATTACTGAATAGTTAAGGTATCTGTTTAATAATTGGTGCCAACTTTTAGTGTCTACTTTTGTATTTTACCTATATTTCATATCTATCTAATTATTGTATCTATATTTTAAGTGTTTATCTATATATCACAATATCATTGTTTTAAAGTTATATTATTCATCGAGATAGTATATACACACAAAAAACATGCCCGGAATGAATTTGTCTTTAATAAATGGATTAACTGGTTGAAAAGAACTTGCAAGTTATTAGAGTGACAAAAATAATGAAGTAAGACAAAGGAGTGCAAATGGGAAAATTTTGTTTTAGCACAAGGTTTCACATGTTATCTAGTCTGTATTTTGCTATACGATTGGAAAGGGAAAAAGACAAGGTAAAATCCTATTTCCTCTTCGTCATATGATACAGTTCGTTGATTGAACTAAAACCCGTTGCCAAATGTTAATTGATTCAAGACCAGTTACAAAATGCTGCCAATTTTGATATAAAAATTAGCAGTAGCTTGAGAGCTCAGGAAGTTCAACACAATTTCATAAGTTAAAAAGACACAAGATTCATCAACTTAAATAATCTATCCGCTAAATTTGCTTATAAAATATTGAAAAAGTTAGTAGCAAAATAAAGAGGTCATAGTAAATGTGCACATTTAAAACCAATAGGGGACGTCTACTCCTTACGTAAAACCAGGACCATGTGTCGACAATTCAGCTCCGGGAGGTAAATTTGCTTTAAGCTGCTCAACACACACTCTGATTGCCTTCTTGTTCATTAGGGATGCACACTTAGGGTGTCCCTCTGTGTCAATGATCATCTTCGTAAGAGATCGGGCAATTCGCAGCAAATGTAAAGCAAGATTACAATCACTTGAACACCCAATAAAACCAACCAACTTCACTACCTCTAGACGTTTGTGACAGAACTTAGTAGCTTCTTGTGCATTACGATCAGCAGCGCGTGCTTCTGTCAGGTACTGCCGCAACTTTTTTTTTTGTGGGGGGGGGGGGAGGAGAGAGACTGAGTCATATCACTTTTATACCCAACAGTTCCTACAAAAAGAGGTAAGCAAAATTCAACTTACCGCCTCAATCACGCCAGGTTGAACTTCTCTCAATGGACTAATACTCCCAAGAGGACGGTCACAACCACTCAGTTCTGAAAACATAAGTCTCTGCTTTGTAACTTCTTTGATAAGAAGATTCCACTCTGTATATTCGTCAATCTAAAAGGGAGTGGTTGGGTTTGGGGGCGGGGGGGACGAAGAATTAGAAGAAGAAAAGAGATAACCAGGCTTGAAGAGGTAATTGAAAAAGATGGAATCAAAGTAAGACTGTTAACAACTTTTTTAACTAAACCTATGAAAAGCTCTATAAAATAGCTAGATAGGATTTAGCTTACACATCTCTCCGGGCCTGGAAGGAACAATAACTGTCAAAACAAAGAAACAAGCATATTAGTAAAACGTTAAGTCGCATTAAACCAAGAAAGGGAGGATCAATTTCAAGTCAATACACTAACTCTACAAAGCCGATGGTCTATCAGAAACAACCTCTCCACCCTCTCGGGGTAGGGGTAAGGTCTGCGTACACACTACCCTCTCCAAACCCCACTAGTGAAATTTTACTGGGTCGTTGTTGTTGTATACTAACTCTACAAAACATGCAACGGACAACAGTGAGCCCAAAAAGAAGAGGCAAAAAAAGGAAAGGAAATGGTGGCAGGAACAAAACACACCAAAGTTTGATTTTAATAAATACACCAAAACGACTTTCCACCAGTAGACGATAAACTAACACCAACTCTACCTGGATGGTCTAGACAGTTTATCAGAAAGCATTAATCAAAGACAAAGCCATTAAAGAATATATGCATCCTTATAATGTTTTTTTTTTATAACCGTGGTATCTGAGCCAGCTTGCGCGCACCTCGACTAATTTCACGACCGCTAGAATTTGAATCTGAGACCTCAGGTTCCCAACCCACTTCATTGTACACTAGCCCACACCATTGGGTGCATGCATCCTTATAATGTTAATCATCAATATAGCATAATAGTAGTTCGGCTTAAACAACATGAGAGTCCATTATGAAAATGGCAGTTAAATGTGGCAAATGCAACTTCTAAGTTAAATTCTGCTCAAGTATCATTTCAAATTCTGAAATATTTCAGGAAAACTTGGTAGGAGAAATATCTAACCTATGCATCGCAATCTCACTCTACATATATCTGACTACTCATCAATGGTAGTTGTTAAGCCTAAGGGGTCGTTTGATAGGGTGTATAAAAATAGTGCGGAATAAGGTGTATTAGTAATGCATTGATTAGTAATGCATGGGTTAGTAATGCAAGCATTAATTATGCAGATATTATTTCTTATCTACTGTTTGGTGTGGTGTATTAAAACTATAATGCATTGCGTAATTTTTAAGAAACATAGTTGTTTACAAAAATGCCCTCCATTTTCTCAAGCTTTAAAATTTTGTCTTTAACCAACCTAATGCATGCATTAGTAGCCTTGGTATTACTAATGCCATGGTTTTCTATGCATTACTTATACATAGGATAATACCAAGTATGGTGTATAACTAATACTTGTTATAAACAGGTTGAAAAAATGTATCAAACAAGATATTAGTAATGCATAGAGCTAATGCTTGCATTATTTTTTCTAATACCTCCTACCAAACCACCCCTAACTGTGTATATACCAAACTATAATGCATTGCATAATTTTTAAGAAACATAGTTGTTTACAAAAATGCCCTCCATTTTCTCAAGCTTTAAAATTTTGTCTTTAACCAACCTAATACATGCATCAGTAGCCTTGGTATTACTAATGCCATGGTTTTCTATGCATTACTTATACATAGGATAATACCAAGTATGGTGTAGTATTAGTTATACACAGGTTGAAAAAATGTACCAAACAAGATATTAGTAATGCATAGAGCTAATGCTTGCATTATTTTTTCTAATACCTCCTACCAAACCACCCCTAACTATGTATATATCCTGTTTTTCCAAACTGCACTTAAGAGCATGCAATTCAGTGGGACTGAGTCGTTCCTAAATTTTGGGTTGTCCTTAATTTTTCACCAGAAAGAATTTTGGATTCTGTCTAGAATTTTGAGACAACAAAAAATAGGCATGCTCTCCCCATCACCCCCCACCCCACCCCCCAAAAAAAGAAATCATGTTACTTCGGCATTGGGAAACAAACAAGCTCTCAGCAAGTGAAACAGTATTATTAAAAGCACACGCTTCAGGCCCAGAAGCGAGAAGCGATGCCAGCGAGAAAAGCTCGCTTAAGCAAGGTCGACGGCTGCCTAGGGTTTTATTTTAAAAAATTTCAAATACACTCGTACGCGACTTCTCTTCCAATAATCTGCTTCGAGTGGACTGCTCTTCCACTGTTGCGACTTCTTTCGAGGTAAGTTTCTCTTCTCTTCTTCTCTTTCTTCTCTTCTCTTCTTCGCTTCTCTTCTCTTCCTCTCCTTCTTTTCTCTGCTTTACCTGCTTCCTCTCGACTCCTCTTTTCTTCTCTTCTCTTCTCTTCTTTCTCTTTTTCTCTTCTTCTTTTCTTTTTTTTTTTCAGTTCTTCGACTTCCAACAGTTATTTTCTATGTTCTGCTCTTCTTTTTTCTTTGTTCTGCTCTGTTTTTTCAAAATCTCTGTTGACTGTTCTGCAATTTTTTCGCTGTTTTCACTATTCTATCTTTTTTGTTTTTTGGTGGTTGTAGTAAATTCTGTCTTTTTATTCAATGGCATCAAGCCAAAAGACTAGGTATTAAATATTTCAATGTCTTTTTGGTCATTTATCTATGCCTATTTAATATTTTTTATTTATGTATTAAATTGCGATTCACATGAAAAAAATGCGCGCTTCGCTTCACGCTTCTTGCTTCAGTGAAGCAAAGCCTCGGCGCCTTTTTCCACTTCTCGCTTTCCAAAACACTGAGTGAACTATAAAAAGCATTTTTCCTCTTCCATATTGTAAAACCCTGCCAATCAAGAATGCAATTAGTTCAGCTGCACTGGAATTGGATCCTCTTTCTCAGTGGCACTGCATACAGTACATACCAAGATAGTCATTCATTCTCTGAACCCTCTTCAAATGGTGTTCTTGGTAGCTCCCAAATATATCATATATAGGACTATAATGCACGAATAAAACAGATTCTGTTATCATTCAATTTACTAAGTACTATTTACTATTCCACGAACATTTTATGTAAATAATGTATGGTTAGACTTGCTCATCATACCATAACAGTGATGATGGTGCGTGGACATATATGATCTTTCTTTTTCTTGTAAAGCAATATCATAAAGGCCACATTTTAGAGTCAGCCATGGTATAATTTCTTTGATTACTTCTTAAGTGAACAAGATTACACAAAGATTACGTTCATTCTTTTAATCACTGATATATAACTGGGAGTAATAAAAATTTGTATTCGTTGATATCTGGCATGCAACTAGTGTTCTGATAGTAACGGTTCGTAGAACAACACAATCCCAAAGCAATTAATTATGTACCTATCTCATTGCTTACTTATTACGCAGGTTAAATAATTAAGTAGATCTAATCTTCTTCTTTTTTAAAAGAATACTTTTTTTCAATTTAGCAGGCATTCTCTAATATACTAAGCTTTTAGATGAGTTTTAAAATGTTTATACAATCAGCAGATCATTTCAAAGAACTCCTAAGCTTAACCATCTTTAAGACTTTTCGTCATATAGCTCATAGAGGGCAAGAGCCAAGAGCATGGCATGGCATAAAGGAGAAGAATATGAGACAAGAACTTTTACCTTGATGGTTAACCTTGACAACTGAGGAGAACACTTAGTCAAGAATGTGAAGAAGCAAAGGCCATCATCCTCTTCTATGGTGATGTCCAATTCCAACTCTTTCAGATTGTAGAGTTGAGGATGTTCACTGGGAAGCTCCCCGATAGGGGAGATGTCTGCTACAACCTTACGTGACACTTTCAGTTTAAGCTTCTTCAGATTTCGACAATAGCTTGAGTGCTTGTGAGCATCAAAAATAAAAGAGCCAGCATAATCACCTCCGATAGTTAGCTCAGATAAGAGGGGAACTTTCTTGAAAGGCACTTTGATATCACGTCCAATGTATGTAAAAGACACAAGACCTGGAGCATGAACCTTCATAGTCTTCAAAGAATCACAATTTGATATTTCCATGGACCTTAACTTAGTTAACGAACCAGCAACTTTCAAACGCTTCAGAGACTTTGAGGCTGAAATACACACTTGCTCCAACACAGGGCAGTGTGACAAAAGAAATTCAACAACTTCCTGTGTTATTCGGATGTTAACAAATCGGAAAGATTTGAGAGTAGTCAATGTTTTCAGCAACTTAACCTCGCCAGAAATCGACAACAGCTTTTGCACATGAGGAATGCTATAATTCCTCCAGAGTCCAGTGCTGTCAAGAGGACCCGCCGCCATGTTTAGTTCAAATACTTTGACCTGCTTTTCCATTGCAAAATTAATCCAGCCATCAATATCATGGTTGACTTTGCTTTGCCTTTCAATTGCAAATTCAGTATCCTTGTTGGGGCGATAACTAATACTTGGATAGACAAAACCAACTTTGAACTGCTCAATAGATTCACCCTGATGCAATTTTAAGCCTTCATTCACCGAATTTATAAACTTTTCTGCTGCCTCAAACTCCAATGTGCCTTCATTATAAAATTGAATACTGCAAGTTGTATACTTCCATAAGTATCTCCATCGCTGCGAGAGGATACAGGTCCTTGCTGCCTCTTGGAAGGTAAGACAGGAAAGAATGGCAATAAGCAACTCATCAGGCAAGTTGTCAATCCCACACTTGAAAAGATTCTGAATAAAAGAAAAAAGATAACTCCTTATATATTCATTAGCCTAGGACTGGAATAAAAGAATACTAAAGGTAGAACCGGGGGTTTAAAAGCATATTACCTTCTGACGCTTACTACAGCGATTAAGAGGCATCACATCATCCGTCTTTCTTTTTTTCTTTTTGATAAGTAAATCCCTCTTTCTTTTTATTGAAAAGGGCATCACGTCGTCCATATTTTATTTTTTATTATTTTATAAGGGCATCAGAATCATCCTACATCCAAATGATAACAAAGACAGTTTCAGCAGAACTATCACTAAGCTACCATAAATTACGCACAAAAAACATGCCTCAATCCGAATTCACAATAGAAATAATATATAAGTAATCCATAATAGAGACTTGAATTTTCTGTGGAATTATTGCAACTGTGCAACTGACAGAAGATAAGAACCCCAAATCAGTGCATAGAATGCAATTTATAATATAAAAAATCAGTAAATATGATGCAAAAATCAGAACTTTTTAACGAATGATAGGGAAATAAAGCTGAAAATTCAAATATTTGAACTTTCTGTGATTTATATATCAGATAGATTGCGTACTAATCAAAGGAGTAATCGTTTTGTTTCATAATTAAAGAGCTAGCTGTTCGAGATCGAGAAACATATTCAGCTAAGCAAAGATCAGAACTTTCTATCAATGATTGGTCAATTTCCAGAAACACTCTTTCCCAATTAAGTCAAAATAAGCAACAACATACCTTGAAGATGTGTGGTTCCAATAATAGTAGGGGAAGAAAGAGACGCAGCAATACCAAAACCAATCTGGCAAGGGCGGCTGCAGGGTAAAGCAAGTGAAGCCCTTGCCCCCAAACATTTAAGGTTCCAAAAAATATAAAGCAATATTATATTATTATGTAATTTATATAATTATTAATAAAAGATTTCAAATTTTAATATTTTTTCATAACGGTAAAAGTAAGATTGAGTGAATTAATAGGATAAATTTTTTCTCACTCTAAATTAAATAATATATTTATCTTTTCTCAATTTTATTTTTCTTATAGTCTTTTTTCATATTTTTCACGATTTATTTTCTAATTTTAACTCAAATTCTCTAAATTAACTATTCTTTTTGTCACATTTGGTTGATTCACACGTGAGAAAGTAAGTTCTTCTGTGTCTCATCTTTTTTAACTAAGAAATCCCTGAGACAAGTGTCGTAAGGTTCAGAATAGGATGTATAATGGGCTCACCCATTTACCATTTTCACTTAAGGGGAGAGTCAATATTATATTATTATGTAATTTTATATAATTTGTATTTATATAATTATTAATAAAAGATTTTAAATTTTAATATTTTTTCATAATGGTAAAAGTAAGATTGAGTGAATTAATAGAATAAAACTTTTCTCACTCTAAATTAAATGGTATATTTACCTTTTCTCAATTCTATTTTTCTTCCTTTATGTATAGTCTTTTTTCATATTTTTCGTGATTTTATTTTCTAATTTTAACTCAAATTCTCTAAATTAACTTTTCTTTTTTGTCACATTTGATTGATCCACACGTCAGAAAGCAAGTTCATCTGTGTCTTATCTTTTTTAACTAAGAAATCCCTCACACAAGTGTCGTAAGGTTCAGAATACGATGGATAATTGGCTCACCCATTTACCATTTTCACTTAAGGGGAGAGTTCAAACCCTATGACGTGCACCTAACCCACACATCATGTTTTGCTCTCACTACTATGTCAAAGCCATGTAGAATTTTTTTTCTCAATATTAAATGGATTTTATGAAAGAAGTCTCAGGTTTTTTTAATATATTTTGATTTTAGGCCACCAGTTTGATTGAGCCGCCCCTGATTGATGATCAACAATTATTTACAGACCACTACCTGACCATGAATGTGTTGTCCAACAGTCACGACCCAAAATCCTAACCTGTCGTGATGGCGCATATCTCAGTACTAGGCAAGCCGTCAACATCAATAACCCACGATTTCCTTTAAGTTTGAAAATATAATGTTTAATACAATATCAAAAATCTAGCAAATTCCGTTACAACCATTCGCAAAACCTGGTGTCAATGAGTACATGAGCATATATACATTACAAGTCAGGGAAACTCGGTCTATAATAATCCGAGACCAAATACAATAAACAAAAGGATATGGAAGGAGAGACAAGGTGTGCAAAACATAGCAGCTACATCTGAAACTCCAAAAAAATCAACTGTGTGAAAGAATCAACACCCACTGTGTCCGGGATCACCTGGATCTGCACACGAAGTGCAGGGTGTAGTATGAGTACAACCAACCCAGTAAGTAACAATAATAAATAAAGAACTGAAAGTAGTGACGAGCTTCTCAGCTAAGTCCAAATACTGTACTTTCCAACACAAAAGTGTAGGTATGCTTGCAAGTTCAACATTTAAAATTTCACACAAATTTCATATCAAATTTGACTGAAACATAAAATAATATTTTTTCAAAATTTCCAAAATAATGATATGTGACAGCTGAAATGCAGCAAATAATGCAATCAATGCATCCTCTCAGAGTAACAATCACTCAGTCCTCCCATTCACTCCAACCTCACAATCACTCTTTCCTCACAGTCACTCAATCCTCACAGTCACTCATTCCTCACAATCACTCAGCACTCGGCACTCGCACTCCGCACTCAATAGGTACTTGCGCTCACTGGGGGTGTGTACAGACTCCGGAGGGGCTCCTTCAGCCCAAGCATTATATCAAGCCAATCATGGCATATAACAATGAAACATGCTGCGGCGTGCAACCCGATCCCATAAATATCCTCATAATTAGGCCCTCGGCCTCACTCAGTCATCAACCTCTCCAGTCTCTTGAGCTCAAGATGTCATGAAAATCAGCCCAAAAATGATAATATGATGCATCAATAAATAGCAACAGATACTGAGATATGATATGAAATGAATGAACATGACAGAGTGTGAAATTATAATTTAAACATATAATTCATCCACAGAAATGACCCTAGTAGGTACCAATAATAACAACATGTGTCTAAGCATGCTTTTTAATACGAGTATCAGCTCAATTTTCTCTAACACATAGAGAATGTACTGATATTAACAGATTATTCAACTACACAGTTCCATGGAATTTGACCAAGTCACAATTCCTACGGTGCACACCCACACGCCCGTCACCTAGCATGTGCGTCACCTCAAAACCAATCACATAACACATAATCCGGTATTTCATACCCTCAGGACCAAATTTAGAATGGTTACTTATCTCAAATCATGAAATTATTTATTCCGCTATGCTCTTGCCATGAGAATTGGTCACCGAAAGCCTCGTATCTAGCCACAATTAATTCGATTCAGTCAATACCAATTATTGTAATTAATTCCACAAGGAAATACTAATTTTCCAATAAAAATCCAAAATTCACTCAAAATTTGCCCGTGGGGTCTACGTCTCGGAACCCGACAAAAGTTATGAAATATGAACGCCCATCCAACCACGAGTCTAACCATACAAATTTTACCAAATTCCGACATCAACTCGACCCTCAAATCTTCAATTAAAGTCTTTGAAGATTCCTACCATTTTCAACTCAATCTTTACCCATTTGAACTCAATAATCTTTCCATAAACCTTATTGGTATGTGTATGTATAAATAATACTGTAACACCCAAGAATCATGCTCTTAATTACCCATCTTTACCCAAACTCGAAATTGAAGACTAGTGTTGCACCCTATATTTTCGAACGTAAATCTGCGTCATGAGCAAAACTAATGTAGGACCCAAAAAATGAGATCATCTTTGAAAATATATAAAGCAAATTAATCATGTTTCCTTGAAAGTTACAAATATTGAAGATCATGAACAACAAGTACAAAGAGGGTTGGAAGGTTCAGAAGCTAAAGGAATTGAAGAAAATAATATTTCGTCGAAAGCCGACAAGTTGAGAATGTTATAGCATGTGCTTTTGGGGTGAGACCAGGGTGTTTAACATGATAAGGAGGTTATTTTATGAGTTATGTTATTCGTATGATAGTCGTGTGTTATATTTTAAAGTCAAGCGAGTGGTGGAACAAAAGTCGATGAAAGTCATCAAAAGTTACGTTCATAAGTTTTACTGAAACTTTGGGTCAAATGTAACTGCGATTTTTTCCCAATATACATAGAGTTATAACGTGTTACACCCATAAAATTAAATATCTATGAGTCTATTTTCCAACGCATTAAACTGCTTGTCAATACGATATCGGAGTAGAGAGATATGGGTATTTTTGCGAGACTGCACAGACTATCCCCTACTTGCTTAAACGAGAATCCAAAACTAGGCCAGTTTGGGTCGTTCAAAGAGGCCTTTTTAAAGGCCTATACCCTTCATATATTAGGATTATAATAGGTCAAAATAACCATACTTAATCTCTGCAAAAATCCTCCCAAAACATTTCTCACAAACCCCAATTGATTTTCTCTTCCTTTCAAGTTCTAATTGAAGGTAAAGCCTAGAGTTTGAAGAACCAAGATAGGAGCTGAGTTATCCCACAAATAAGATAAGTTTACTACTCTCTTTCATCCATTCTTTACAGTTTTACATGCATGGTAAGTTGTTCTATATTTGTAAGAACTCACATGACGGTGACCGGAAGCCGTGAGTTCGAGTTATTCACTTGTAACGGACTGTTTTGTGGATTGTTTTATGGACTGTTTGGTATTATTGTTGGGCTGCGTGATTTACTATTGTTTTATGGAGTTTTGGAGGATTAAGGGTGTGGAGAAACACCACATAAATGCAGGATGTTGGGTTGGTTGTTCGTCGTAACATTTTCGGGTTGTTGACACTACTACGGTGGTCGTTTTGTGTATGAAGAGATTGGGGTGTGTTTGTAACGACCCGGTCGGTCGTTTTGAGAGTTATAAATCCGTTTTCCCCTATTTCTACTTCTTTTTATGTTATTCAGCTATATTATATTATATCGGATTAGTTGGTTCGGGACCGGAGTGGTTTCAGAGTGAATTGAGACACCTAGTCTCTTAAATAGAAACTTAAGTTGGAAAAGTCAATCGGATGTTGACCTATGTTTAAAGGATCTCAGATTTGAATTCTGATGATTCCGTTAGCTCCGTTAGGCGATTTTGGACTTAGGAGTGCGTCCGGAATGTGATTTGGAGGTCCGTGGTAGAATTAGGCTTGAATTGGCGAAATTGGAAATTTGGCGATTTCGGTCGGCAGTGAAAAATTTGATATCGGGGTCAGAATGGAATTTCGGAAGTTGGAGTAGGTTCGTAGTGTCATTTGTGACGTGTGTGCAAAATTTGAGGTTATTCGGACGTGGTTTGATTGATTTCGGCATCGGTTGCCAAATTTAGAAATTTAGAAGTTCTTAGGCTTGAATCCGAGGGTAATTTGGTGTTTGGATATTGTTTTGAGTGATTCGAAGGTTTGACTAAGTTTGTCTGTTGATATATGTTGTATTGGTATTTTTGGTTGAGGTCCCGAGGGCCTCGGGGTGATTCCAGGTGGTTAACGAATTTGTCGAAGTTGGACTTTGCAGCTGGAGCTGTTGCTTCTGCTATTTTCGCATCTGCGGAAGAAAGGGTTGCAGGTGTGAGGCCGCTGGTGCGCGTGGGGAGAGAGCAGGTGTGGGCGATGTTGGGCCAAGGTTGGGAATGCAGGTGCGAAGAATTGGCCGTATCTGCGAGCCCGCAGGTGCGAGGC